GACGAATGTGCCGTAGGATTTTGACGAATGTGCCGTAGGAATGGCGCGGTTATGTTTTCTGTATTTGAGTGCGCATGCACACGACGACTATTAGTACTGAGCTGTATAATTGTATTCACTCTCGCGGTTCTATCTATTTTCCCTTCATTTCTGGTGAGACTCATCAGCATCAACGCATATCCCACTGTACAGCTTATACTTGCCCTGGTTGCTTGCTTAGTATGCTAATACGTGCTTGTTATCTTCCCTACTGTACAGCTTACAATTGCCCTGGTTGCTTGCTTCGTATACTAGTACTGGCTTGTTATCTTCCACTAATGTTATTGTATACCGGATTTCACTTCTTCATTTATAGTACTGGTGGTAGACACAGGTCTCAATGCCTACTCCAATGCTTTGGTGTTCATGGTATATCCGTTGGTATTCCATGTGATGGCTTTCGCGGCGTCCATCTATTCGTCACATATGTACAGCTGGAAGGATCTCAATCCGCTGAGGAAAGGGTAAACTCTTATAGGATTGATATAAAAGACCAATAAAATAATAGGCATTGACGTATAGTATTAGATATGAAACACATGTTAGTTGGATCACAATAATGTGATACTGATCGTGTGTACCTAGCACATCCTCGCCACATTTGCACAACAGATCTGATTTGCCCCTCTATGGTTGATAGCGAAGTTGCGTTTTTAAAATATAGCATGCAGGCCCTAACATTTTTCATATGCATCATTATGCTTATTAAAATTGAAAAATCATCTGAGCCGGCATGATACCGGTTGTTGCACTTGTATTTAGTGGTCACATTGTCTAGTTTCAATGGTTTTGAGCCGCTATGATACCGTTAGTTGTAGTTTTATTTAGTGGTCACATTGTCTAAGATCCATGGTTTTGAGCCGATATGATTCCGTTGTACATATATAATAATGGTCACATTGTCTAGGTTTAATGGTTTTGAGCCGCTATGATAACGTTAGTTGTAGTTTTACTTAGTGGTCACATTGTCTAGGCTCAATGCTTTTGAGCCGCTACGATACCGTTGTACCTATATATGGTAATGGTCACATTGTCTAGGTTTAATAGTTTTGAGCCGCTATGATAACGTTGTACTTATATTTACTGGTCACATTGTCTAGGTTTAATGGTTTTGAGCCGCTATGATACCGTTAGTTGTAGTTTTATTAGCGGCCGCATTGTCTATGTTCAATGGTTCTGAGCCGCTATCATAACGTTTGTTGTACTTCAATGGCCACACTGTCTAGGTTTAATGGTTTTGAGCCGGGATGATACCATTTGACATACTTTATTTGCCACGTTGTTTTGCATGCTTAAAAATAAGCAGCCATAAAAACTCTGTACGATATCAGCTAAACCCGTCTATGTTCGACCTAATTAATCATTTTCATTAGCATTCGGAATTAATAGCAAGTGCGAAACTACCTTTCTTTTTAAAAACGTTCAATACGCACTCCTGATATACGCGAATTGAACTCAGCTGCGCAGATAGAAAGTTAACAGATATATTTACCCAACTACTGATTTGCTGTGCTAATAGAATAACAAATTAATAATTAATTAGACCTGTAAAGGGTGTATTGTTTTGCTTGAGTTATGTAAATACTACTCAGACTTGCCCTGAAATCTGGGGTTTTTTAACAGGGTCTATAGTCGATGCGGGTAGCAGTTAGCTTATCGCTCCCATCAGGCCAATGAGAAGGCTCTACGGGTAGGAGAAATTTGATTGGCCAAGAGTCAACTCGCGAAATAAAGTTGGGAAATCATTATTTCAATTATTTGCGATATTTTATTGTCAATGACAGAATATGTTTTTTTTAATTAATATTTCCAAGGAACAAGAAAGGACCCAATATGGAGATATATATTGCGACTCATCTGGAATAAAAAATATGTCGGTAATCCACTGTCAAGCAAGCAGTGCTTTAGTTAAAAACAACAATGCTATGTGGAATTACAAAATTTATGTAGGCGCACAAAAAAATATCTTTTGGCTTCTTCCTCTTGTACTTCGAAATTTGAATGCTCAGTCGTCCCTACAATATATTACACAGTCACGGCAGATAAGGCCTCATTTATAGGTTGTAGCTTATCTTACACGTTGCCTTCGACAACGTACATAAGCCGCACCTCTCTGTATGCACGACTAGACGTGTATCTACAGATAGGTAGTGTAAGCACCCTGTAACTAAAACTTTGCCCGGGTGGTCGCGATCGGTGAGGGATCCTGATCACGGACCGCTTCGGCGTTGTACCGATAGGTCATCCCAGGTATTAAACACCTATCGCGAATATAACAAAATGAGCGAGATCCATTCCTTGCCAGTACTGGTAACTAACTTTTCCGGCAGTAACTCGCCTAAGAGTCTGAGTGGTCTTGAAGGCATAGGAGGTAGCGTTGATTCACGCTCCCTGGCCAATTCACCCCACGATTCACGCACATTAGCAGATACAAACCCGAACACGAATAGAGAAATAAATTCAAATTCGTACAGTAATCTGAAGAGCAATGTAAAGTCGCCTTCGCTTCCAGTGGAAGGCGATGAGGAGATTGTGAACTTCGGCATTGAGACACTCAACCAGTTATTCAATAGTAGTAGCTCTCGGAGCATTGAAAGTCACCACACATCGCATGAATCACGCATGCTGATGTTAGATAGTATGCAAAAAATGTGTGAAGAGAACGATATAGGTGATACGGTGGCAAGTACTACTCAGACTCAATCACCTAAAGTGGATCATAAGAATTTCTTAGGTGTCACCCCTCGTGCACCCAAAGTCAAGCCGTCAAGTACTTTTCCTATGACCAAAACGGACGAGAACACCGCGACTATCACACCTAATGGAAACAACGATCTCGTATACGATGAGAAAGATGACATAGACAATTGTAGTCAGAGGCTGAGTGCGCTCATGGTAGGTAATGCTTTGTACGACTTTGAGCTGCCTGAGGGTCCAGAGAGCGGTACCACCGCCGAAGGGACACTTATAATCAGTGTTAATAGTACAGGCTGGTCGCCATCTAACCCCAGCAAGAATGTATTGACTACCCAAGGATCCACAATGTCATTCACCAAGAGCTTCCACTCAGCCCACCCCACCAACGATACTAAGCACGGCACCACAGGTTACGCAAGTGACAGCAGAGACACACAGCCTAGTAAGTCAGATAGGGAACTTGATTTACAGAATCTACCCAGTATGCCAGGCTTCAACTTTCAGCATAGATCCTCAAGTTTTAGTGGTATATTGGATTCGTCAGTAGAAAGTCTTAATATGGGCCTGAACATGAATCTGAGGGGTTCGGGTGCCGACTTGCCGGAGAGTTTGGGCAGTTTGGCTAGCATTCGTGAACTCGAGAGTATGTCTGAGACTAACCTATACCAAACCTCGACGCCTACATGGGGAACAAAGGAGCGCAACCCGAGTGATAACAATGGGGCAGACAGTGTGAAAAGTACGACACAGAGTGACAACTACACAGCAATGATTGCGGATGAGAAGGCAAAGCAACAGCGGAGAGTGCTACTAGCACATAGACAGAGAGAAGAACTGCGTGCGATAAAAGCCGCCGAGAATAACAATGATAGCACTAGCAATAGCAAGAAGAAGAAGAAGCACAAGAACAAGAATAAGATAAAACAAGAGGCGATTCCAGGTAATGGATTGGATATGTACCAGGATGGCCCGGGTGCAGAAAGTACTACCCACTCGTCCAACAACGGAGATATCTCGGCTATCACTTCAATGGGATCACTACCTGAACAATTGCTGGCACTACAAACGAAAATTTTGGAGCAAAGTTCGAGTAGAAAAGCGGGTAGAATGCTCAATGCGAACTACTCTACCCCACCCGCAGACAAGCCGATGTACACTCGGTCTCAAAGCGAACCTCAGCAACAGCATCACGGCCTATACTCGCAGTCCCAGCCCGCACTGTCCTCGTTGACCGAGGAAAGGGCCAATTCGCACCCGCAATTGGGGGCTAATACAAACATGGGACAACGCAAGCGCGGGAACACAGATGACCTCCGGGGCAGCGTGACTAAGGTACACAGAGGTTTCAGTCAGAGTGAGACGGGTGATGTCGGTGAGGCTTTCAGTAGTAGTAGCGGTGGTACTGTGAACAATACCACAGCCATGGGGAGTTTGGGCGATGACTCTGCGCATGGGCTGCTGATGGGAGCTCATTCAGAATATACACAACAGCCTACAAGCCGCACACAACTACAGCAGGCATTGTACAATCGTCAGCGTCAGCTACAGCAGCTGCAAAGGAACTCACAGATGGACGACAACGACCCTTCCAACATGTTCCTCTCCAGTAAAACAGTGGAGGCCGCACACACTGCTGTGGTTAATGGATCAAGCTCTGTGCTTGCACGCTCAAGTACTTCCGGTGCCTATGTGCCTACGTTTCAATACGGGTATTCGGATGGTAACATACATTCGCCTAACTATAGCCCGGCGTTGAGTGCTCGTAGTCCTGCGTTGAGTGCGCATAGTCCGGCCCTAAGTGCGAGACAGGGCGAAGAGGAGACCAACCCAGATATTGGACACACGTGGCAGCAGATGAACCAGATTCAGGAAGAGCAATTGAAGCAGCTCACACGAGCACACCAGAAACAACGCAAGCTGGTGGCACAACAACTGCTCAAGCAACACTATGAGACACAGCAGAGTAGTATGCTACAGCAGGCAAGCCAGATACAGATGCAAAACCAGCACGCAAAAGAACTGCGGCAGCTACAGGAGCTTCAACGACAACAGCACGACCTACAGCTACATGTGCAAGACCAAGAGCATCAGTCGTACAGTCGCAGTGGAAGCATTGTAAGTCAAAGGCAGAGTACTGACCAGGACCACGGCCATATACAGTACAATGAGACACTGCCGATGTCCAGTTGTGAGTCTATAGGTAACAATGAGAAGAAGTTCGATGCAGCAGAGTACTTGGCTTCCCAGCAGCACAGGCTCAGAGAGAGTCAGACAGGTGGCGCACAGGACAGTGCTGGTAGTAATAGCACAAGCATGCACACTCGACAGCCTTCTATCAGCGAAGCCCACTCGCCCCCCGCACAAGTCATCTCTTCGCCTAAGACACGCAGAAGGGAGGAGACTGCAACGGATGTGGCAGAAAAGGGAAAGAAGGTTGCTATGGACGACGAACCTGCCAATCGTACAGTTATAACGTCCTCGTATCCGAACGCGGAAAGCACTGTGGTGAAGTTCTCGGATGTGTACGAGTGGCTGCATATTCACTTTGAGGAGTGCGAGCGTTCATTTACCGTGCCCCGTACGGACCTATACCACATGTACTGCGACCACTGTAGTCAGAAGGATGTACAGCCGGCATACCAACCCACCGTGGGGAAGGTGATACGTATCGCGTTCCCCGATGTGACTATCAGACGCCTGGGCAATCGCAAGAACTCCAAGTACCACTACTGTGGGATCAAGCTGAAGCCAGAGTTTCAACCGTACTACGAGACACTTGTACTGGATATACGCAACAGTCAACGGGCCATGAAGGCAGCCCAAGCACGTGAACAGCAACAGATGGGATACGAGCAGCAGCAGCAGCAGCGTATGCAGAGGGTTTTAATTGCAGAGCCGTATTCGGCACAGGGACATACATCCACCGTGCAGGGAGAGGGTGGTCTAAGAGAGTTCAATTCGTATGCGTACGCTAATGCGAAAGCGGATGCGGATGTCATTGACCAGGAAGGGCTCCAGTACAGTACAGCGGGAGATGAATGAAGTTAAAAGCGCTGGGCCTTTATAGACTATGATACAGTAACAACATATAAGCTAAACAATAAACTCCGACTTATGGTTTTTTTTATTGATCGTACGTACGAGTGATGATTGAGCCTCACACATCGCGTCGTGAGGTATTTCGAAGTGTTCGATCGTGTTGTAATTGGGTTTGGATGGCTCGTCTGGTATGTCTCAATAACCAGCACTATTCAATGATCATACGGAAAGAAACTGTAAGATACCCCAAACTAAAGTAGAGCCAGCACATTATGTTAAACGCGTTTATGTAGAAGATATGCACAAATGCGTCCCAATTAGCCGCTTTAAATTCAAGTAAGAGCTCAATCATGATGTCTGTACATTACAATGCAACGAATAGGGTTCACATAAACCTATAATGTTATACTTCATGGTCCTGCAATCAATCAGACTCTCTTTCTCTCTCTCTCTCTAGATCTATTGTAGTATACTCTCTAGTAGACTCGCGTCTAGAGACTAGATTCTGTACACACACACACACACGAACACACACGCACACAAACACAGACACAGACACACAGACACATATATACACACACACTACACACGTGTACACACACACACACACACACACCCACAGACGGACAGACAGACAGACAGACACAACACACACACACACACACACACATATATATATATATGCA